TGGTTGGACTTATTGATCTTAAAGGTCCCTTCCAACCTCAGCAATTCTATGATTCTGTCCTACTCTTTCAGTGCCTGCCATGGTGAAGGCAAACTCAGTGCGGGTTCATGCAGGAGCAGAAGGGAATTCACCAGAGTAAAGGCGAAGCGAAGAGCGAGGACCAGCCGCACCGCTTTTCCTTACAGAGCAAATGTTACTTGACACGAGAAAGTGATGTAATGTAGATAAAAGTCTAAAGATGCTCTGAATCTGTGTGTATACAAACAGAGGGCCTGGAAAAACTTAGGGCTGCATTCTCTAAGCTTTACTTGATCAAATTAATCCCCATTTGTGGAGGTCATTTACTTACAACAATATAAACTTTAGACAAGACAGGCGCACGTAGCTGCCACGCCGTGCAGGTCTATACCGCTATACACAGCCAGCGAGCACTGCCCTCTGCCAAGTTTAGGCTTGCAATCCCCACACAAACATGTTCTAAATAAAATCTCACATACTTTCAGGATTATTATTTTTTTTTTTTAATTTGCTTTCACTGGCCTGGCATAACCACTGATTCCTGATTCTGTTCTTCCAACATCGAATGAGAAAGCCAGTTTCTTCTTAAAATTCTGATTTAGCAAGCTGACCTGTGCAGGCAGATCCCACCATCCATGGAAATATATGGAGATATTTATGTCTGTATGTGGTTATACAGAGGTATGCCTATAAATAAAATAACGTTCTATTTCTTTTCAAAGAAATAGACACAGACGGTGGAAATAAATTCAGCACAAGTTCTGTTATTCCAGAAAATGCAAGTATAAATTTAGGTTAATACCTTTGACAGAACCTCTCCAATGAAAAGAAACTTCTGGCTGAAACCACCACAACAATCAAAATTGGTATGAAATTACGATGGGAGTTGAGGGGCCTTCCTACATCGCAGTCGTGTCCTCAGTACTGTGGCCAGTTCAGGCGGAAAGAACAACAGATTGGCCATTGAGTGCCCTTTTCGTATAAATAACATTAAACTGAGTGCTTGTAACACATACACGAATCTATGTATTTCCAGAAATACTTCTCTGGTCTGATATTACTCTTCATTAAATTTCATTCGATATGCATTACCCAGCCCAGGAGAAAGAATCAAAACAAACCAAAACAACCTCAGCCCCCACACAGAAAACATTTCCATCCCTTTTCACGGTGAGGAAACGATAAAATCTCCATATGGGTTGCTGTAGCAGAAAATACTGTTACAAGAGGTGTCTGTCATTAAATGCAAAACCTCCTTTAAACCAGACGAATTGCTGTCTGTGTTTTACAGCTTCCGCTAGGAAAAGAAACAAAACCTTTAAGCCATAGATGGGTTCCTATCTCACATTGCACATCGTATCTTACAAGGCATCAAATTTAAGCGCAATGTGACAGAGTTCGCAATTCCATACAAACCATAGACAACATTTGGATTGGTGTAAATACAGAGTAACTCCTCTGAAAAGGCTCGTGCATCACCCTGGTGGCAGCGATGCAATGAGTGCACCAGGACAGCAACTCCTAATTCCGCATCTCCCTCTTCCCATCGCAAAACCAAGTTCTGGCCACGGATCCCAAATCACAAGCAAATAACCTTTAACGGTGGGTAAATGGAAATACACAAAATGACATTAATCCTGCACGATGACTTCGCAAGGTAGGAATAGAGGCCTCCTGGGTTTGTATTTCCACTTAAATTGTATTAAAGGTCTTTATGGCCTTCTCTTTCAGCCACAATAATATCCCTTCCTATATGTTATAGGAAGTTTTTAATGAAGTGTTGCTATACAAAAATCCCACAACTATTTACCTGGTATGCAGAAAATATGCACAAAATAGCTACAAGAACTGCTCTTATAAATGAGTATTTTTGACTGGTTGCACCAAAGCTGCAGGAACAGAAACAGATTTTACAGTCCTGGAGAGCAGCAGAACACAAGACAGGCTGCAGGCAGAATTCCAGTCTAGAGACCACCACAGCAGTTATGGTCCATCTCTGCAAAAATCTGTACTTCATAAGATAAGTCTCTGTGACTTTAATAGGCTTATCAGTAAGACCTGTCTGGAAGAGTTAGGGTTGGAGATTTTGGTCCTTAACAAGAAGAAATTTGAGTATAGCAGGTGACAAAGGCTTGAGAGGAATTATCTGAAAGCAGATGACAACTACTCTAAGCAGCACAACTTTGAAGTCCAGAAACAGAGACTATAAATAAAGCGATGTAGTCCATATGGTCCTATTTAGAGGTCTGCCAGCAGATCTCTTTAAGGACCTGCTTTTCAATGCTGGTAACTCATTCAACTGAATTTTGCTTCAGGACTAAAGCATTCACACGAAGTCCTAGTATGGAAACCAATTCTATTTTAAAAATTTCTATATATACATATTGCTGCTCCTATTTTCACAACATTTCAAATAAACATAAATCAAACTTCTCTGCTTACAAGAGGCTGTAACAATTTCTCTCAGCTTTGGCTAAGGATTACACAGTCCTTTGCAACTTAAGATTGTCATCTGCAATCATAATGAAACATCCTATTCCATGTGAAAACTGAAACACGAAACTCGGTAGAATTTCGTCATCATATGTCCCTTCATGGATTCTCTTGCTTTCTTCCCTCACTACTGGGACATCCCTCACACCCTGACTATTGTGCAGGGAAAAAAAAAAAACAAAAAAACAAACACAAACAGCAGAGCTTGGTTTTGCCAGATCAGGGAAGAAGCCAAAATTCAATCTGAAACTAAATTCTGACACATACAGCCTGATGACATAAGTATTTATTGTGATGTCTATTTATGTGTTGGGTCCAGCTAGCAGAGCTCATGCTTGATGGAGTACCTGGGACACCATAAAGCACAGAGCTTGTGCTTAAGCTCTGCAAAAAAATGTTGGGTGCAGTACCAGGGAGATGTAGATAGACGATTTATGCATCCTGAGCTCGAATCTCCACTGAGTGCTTCCATGGGGTGCTATGAACACATAGGATTGTGATATGTTGCATGGTGTACCTCTGCCTTATTAAATCTTACTAAAGCACTTGTTTCTGCTACTGCTGAAGCTCATTGCAACCTCAGGCTTGGGTGGCCTCCAGAGGTTTGTCTCTTCGCTTTTCCTGAGTCACTCTCCTGTTCCCTGAGAAAAAAAAAGTGCCAGTATATTGATCCACAGAAGCCATCACAAGACAGGGAAGAGACCGCTTAATGATGTCCTTACTTTCTCTGTAGCAGAGTAATCCTCAGCGGACTGCTTAAAGCAGTGTTGTCATGCGGTTGTAAAAAGGGGTCACATAGGGCTCAGAAGTTGATTCATCTTTTCAAATACACAAATCTCAAAATAAAATAAAGCAGGGAACATTCCGACCACATACCGCCTGCTGGAAGAAGACAAAATTATAATGGAAAAGTGGGGACTGAATTTTTTTGGCAATGGTGCTGACTGGCTGTCAGGAAACCAAAACTGTAGAACAGCGCAGAGGGCACTTCTCCGACCTTCATGAGAAATGTGCAGGAGAGGAGAGGTTCTGGCAAGAATTGCAACTCACTAATAGCACCTATGTTAAAACCAACCCCTACTTTAACACTTAGTTAAACTTCTCTTTAAATCTGACCTACTTAAGGTCAAATCCCATTCTTGGTGAACCAGTGTGAAGTCTAGAGGAAAGGGAGTTACTCTGCATTTACAGTGATGTAACTGGGCAACGGCAATGCTCATTATGGCGTCTTTAGGCTCTGCACACACTTAGCAAGTGGGGAATGTTCCTCTTTCAACTATTTTCTGACATGTCATCGAGAAGCACAATCCCTCCAACAGGTGATGCATTGGGATCCTCACACTCGACTGCTTTGCCCCGTTCTTTGCGTGTAAATCAACTCATACGCAAAAGAAGCCAACTTCCA